CCCGACGACAAACCTGCCTCGAATCCCGTCCAGACGACGCTTTCTTCTCTTCACTCGCCTCGACCGCAGTCGCCAGGCGTCCGACTGACCCGCATTCGCGACCCCATCCTCCGTCCCTTTTGACCCCTTCGCCGCACGCCGCACGCCACACGCCACACGCCACACGCCACTCGGTATCCGGTATCCGCTACCCAATACCCAATGCACCTGGCAACTGAGTCCAGCAGAACCGACTCGCACGACCTCGCCCCTCGGCAATCCAGTTGCTGGCCAGCCGGCAAGACAGACAGGGCCAGACGAAGGTCGTTTGTGTGCTTCACCTCCAGTCGGCCCACGTCATTCGAATAGGATGCGCACAATTTCGCGTCTGAGAAGGCATTGCAAAACGACCGTTGCTGCTGTCTGGTGTTCACCTGCACAACCAATCGTTCTCAGACCTGACATCAACACACACACACACACTCACACACACACACACAAACACACACACACACATATATATATTTATATACAGGCTAGTGTGTGAGGTTGGATAGAGAAAGAGTGAGTGCGCGCAAGAGACAGTAAGTGTGCGTGTGTTTATGCGAGGAGGAGAGAAAGAGATGAAGCGAAAAAGCAAAAAGACAAGATTATTTAAGAATTAATCGCTAGGATAACCTTGGTTAGGCATCATTTGTTCCATCATATTTTGCTATGGATTTTCACAATTACAATACACACAAAAGGGCATTGGTTTAGTGTGAAAGAGGGCTTCAGTTCACCTCCTGACCACTCAAATCAATCAGACATTAATCTACAGAAAGAGGAGCACTCTGCCGCTAAAGGACTCACTGTGACGAGCATCAGCCAAACGGGTCTTCATCGAATCGCCTTGTCAACCAGACTCGCCGCTAATTGTCGCGGCAACCAGTCCTGGAGACTGTGATGAGGAAGAGGCAATGAAGTGGCATATAAATACACATAGCAACATGCAGGCTCAGCTCTCCAAGACGAAATGACTGTGACCAGTACCAGCATCAATTGGTCTCGTAAATTGAGCTCATCGACCAACCTTGGCAACTGTTGACTGGATTGGCGGTTGTGAATTTCTGAAAGAAGCAATCACGCCGCTTCCACAAGAAGCATCGACAGTCGGGCCGGGTCAGTCGCACTTTGAGAGGGCTCGGAGACGTCAAGTTGCCAACTTGGCAAACTGCTGTACCTTCTCGGTGCTTCCAGAAGAAACGGCTGTTTCGATCGTATTTCTGTGTCCACAGCTGGTTGCCGATTTTCGCAATTCTAACCGGAGCTTGGAACTGCATTTTATCACATTTTCTTGTCCAAATATTGCTGAAATTAAGTAAATTTATGTTTGATGGGGATTAGGATTCTGTCCAAAAAGTTAGAAAAAAACGTAGAAACTGACTTTATCTCCGGTGCCTCGTAATTTATAGCCTAATGACTCATGCAAAATAAGAGTTTTAAAGAGAAAATTCATTTCTACCAAACCATTTGACGCCTCATCATACAGCGTCAGTTTGATCGCAAAAACAACTTGTAGTTGCATGCCTCAGAGATTCCCCCATCATCTGACAGGTTGGGTGTGCAGTTATCTGGCAGACTTGCGCTGCCAGACATTTTTAGACGTTCTTAATTTGGTGCTAAAATCAGTTTTTTTTAATACTTCGTTTAGAGTGAGTGTCTTTCCCGACCAGGCGGTTAGAATTTTTATCAAAATGCAGCTCCAGTTGGCTTAGCAGCTACAAATAGGGAATTTGAACGAATTTAAAATCGTAAATTAAATTTGGATTTGACAGTAATTTTAATAATTACCACTTTTCTCCAAGGTCTAGGGAAGGCGCAAATGTGCCTTAGCAACACCACTGCTCCGACTATATGGAACTCGGAGGGGACTGGATAAACTGAGTCTTCCAAGACATGCTATCGCGAAGTCTTGTTATTTGATTGTAGGAAAAATTCCAATCTCAATCGTTAATTTGCAATGCTTTTTGATAATCTCTAAACACTCTTTCTACAAATAAAATAAATGTTACCTCCCCCCTCCCGACAGGTCTACATCGCGGGCTGGAACACTTTCACACTCCTCTCTAATCACACCAGTGAGACAGCGTCATACTTTCCACCTTGCCCAAACCAAACACTGATTCCACCCGGAAATCTGACTTATCCGTAACAGAGTACTAACAGGTCAACTAGTCTACCATTTTTCGTTTAAAAGTAGGCTTTCAAGTAGTAGATTGCGAAAACCATTAAAAATGTGCTTAATTGACAATCTCGCCGGATGATGTGATATAAAATAATGCCTGACCTCATTTAAAATTAAAATATTTCCCGTAATCAAAGAGGACTCGTGGTTAATGTGTCGAGATCATATGGCGCAGGGTCTTGGTTCGAGCCCTGCTTGCGGTGAACATGAGACCCAGGCGAGGTCGAAATTAAAGTTCACTTCATCTTGGATGAGGAACCTCTTGGAAATCAAGGGCATGTGAAATTCAATAGAAACGTGAAGTCTGCTCATCTGATTATGTATTTTCACAATTACAATACACACAAAAGGGCATATGTTTAGCGTGGAACGAGGCTTCAGTTCACCTCCTGACCACTCAAATCAATCAGACATTAACCTACGGAAAGGGGAGCACTCTGCTTTTCGACGGGACCGTCTTCTCTAAAGAACTAAATGTCACAAGCATCAGCCAAATGGGTCTTTATCAAATCGCTTTGTCAACCAGACTCGCCGCTAATTGTCTCAACACCCAGTCCTAGAGACTGTGATGAGGAAGATGTAATGAACTGGCATATAAATGCACATAGCAACACTGTAAAAGGGTCGTTTCGATTGCTCTACTGTCATACATAAAAGTAGTAGATTGCGCGAACCGTTAAAACTTTGCTCAATAGACAATCTCGCCAGATGATGTGATATAAAATAATGCCTGACCTTATTTAAAATTAAAATATTTCCCGTAATCAAAGAGTACTCGTGTTTAATGTGTCGAGATTATATGGCGCAGGGTCTTGGTTCGAGCCCTGCTGGCGGTGCAGATGAGACCCAGGCGAGGTATGTGAAATTCAATAGAAACGTGAGGTCTGCTGATCTGATTACAAAAAAATTGAACCACAATTCCTTGTATCATCTTAAACGAAATAGGGTGAATACATCTCATATAATCATTTTACAAATTGTATACGTTCGATAAGAAACAATTGTTTTCTCGTTTCTCAGCCTCTCTCTAGCGGGACTCGAACTTGGCTCGTGCTCACCAAATGGCTTCAAGGTTCCATCTCACAACACAGTTACAATCCAGCTCCTCTAAACAGCAGACTTACAAACTCTTATTATGTCGACAAAGGGGACCGGAAGACGTATTTCTGTGGCGAGTAGTTTTCAGGAGTAGTAGCTGCAAATTCAGGTTTATATTTCGACATCTACATCCATCAATTTTAACATTTCGCAATTCTGTGACATAAAAAAAGGTCATAGTTCGGCGATGGATTCTAGATGGATTTCCTTTGTCGGAAGATCTTGTAGATTTGTTCGTGTTCATCACTCGTTTCATGCCGGAATATGCAAAGAAATCTGCTGAACGATCCAACTTAACCAAATGCGACCAAGTTTCTTCAGCAGAATAGCTTTTTAGAGTTACAGAATCGGCTGACTATACGATTTTTCTTGCTAGACTTTCATACGGAAAAACATATTATTGCCTACTAAACATTTCTAGAATATGCACTCCCGATCTGAACAACTTTCATTTGTATGCATCGAAATTCGTCAGTACTTTGTCCTACTCAAGGGACGGCATAAGGACGATGGTTTACGAATTTGCATCAGAATCACTTTAAAGCATGTCTTTTTTGCTCAGAACATGTGTGAAATGCAGAGTACCGGCAAAAAAGTTGGATTTTGAGGAATATATCGTCTTCAAATTGTTAAGCTTACTTGCATTTTGATGCGATTGCTGGAATGTTCAGCAAAGCGGACCGAAAGGAATCCGTGGGCGCTTCCACTTCAACTGAAAACGATCTCATTAAAATGCAGCTTTTCACATGAATTGTGGAAGAGACCAAAAACCATTTATTGCAGCTCTTCAAATGGAGAATGGGCCACGAGGTGAAGCCAAAAAGAGGTAATGTTTAGCCTCGTCTTCGACGTTTATTTGACGACTTTTTTCGACTCGCTCATCACATGCCGCATGAATCGGCAAATTCTGGCGAGCAGACTACGCCAACTGTCCCACTTGGCCAGGCTTTATCCTATCCGCTTAAGGGGTTTTTCGTGGAGGCAGAAATTCTGATGACTTTGCTGTTGAATGTGTTTTGCGTTGCCATGTTGTAGGGAAAGGTGAAGAGGTGACATACACTAAATTAGTAGAAAGTAGTCTGTCATTGCCACGCTTTGGTAGCTTCACCAAGTGGTGAGATAGAGATTTAGGAAGAGTGAAAGAGAACGAAAAACGGCCCTTTCGGATAACCTTGTACTTCCTGCGCCCGAATGGGCTCGAGGAGAAAAAGGAGCAAGACTGGTAACCATGTGCACCAGAAGATGAGGCTAGTTTCTTATTTGTTTTTTTTTTGACAAATTTCTCATCTTTTTGCCCCGGTCCGAGTTTCGCAGGGTTCCGGCTTGTGTGTTTATCCGCTGTCTTGTGGAGGGGCATAGCAACGGGTGGATTGTCGAGAAAAACGTGGTTATGTGCATTTTACGCCGTTGATCGGCATCAACTGACGGTCAGACATGCTGACGGACGATTCGGTTGGCCGGAAAGTCTGGTACCTGCTAGAGCCGCGGTTGTCTGGAGGAAAGATTCGGCTCGGCTCTCTTTGGCCACCTTGCCCTCAGCCGAAGACAGCTTCTGCCACAGTGTCTGTCTGTCCTGAACTGGGTTGTAGGCTTGTCGACCGCGTTGCCAGGCGCCTCGTTAGCAGAGATCCCTTAGCACGGGCTCCACGTGTTTGTCAACTTCGCAAATCGGCCGCTTCTGCCCGACAAACCAATTGCCGCTTGGCATTCCAGACTCAACGCCCCGCGACGTCCTTAAAGGCCCTAGGCAACGGGGCATTTTTGTACTATGCATGATGCATTTTGAAAACTATCACTTGTAGGCATAGCGACTGAATAGTTTTCTGCAAAGTTCTTCTTTGCGCCTCTCAAAGAACGCTCCACACAGGGATTTTTCAACAAGAATAGAAGCAACAGTCCCCAGCACACACACACACACACACACGCACAGACAAAGATGGACCGCATTGTATGCTTGTCAAACAATTTTTTTCATATATTCGACGGTAAGGAAAGTTGAGTGGCAAACTGTTTCCTGTTTTACTATTGTTGAGCATAGTTGTTGCGAAAAAAAGTTCTTTTGTTTCATATTTGTTGAGCTCACTTCCAGTTCGAGTGAAAGTGTTGCGTGAAGAGATTCGAAGCTCGATTCCACCAAAAGACGACGGTCGAAGAGACGCAAAAAGGCATCCTACCACAAAATGATGGCGGATTCAGCTCGCTATAGTATTCTTGAGGACCCTATCGTCGAGAAAATCTTCTTCGGTTGCCATGACAACGTGACAAGTTTTCACGTCTCGTAGCATTTGAAGTGCATCATGAATTTACAACCTTATTGAAGCAAATCAGTCGAGACTCTTCTTGGCATACATACAAGTTGTCCTCCCTGCTTTTCACGCATCACTTGTCCCTTTCTGCCACACTGAAACATACAACCGTGCACACACACACACACACACAAACATTATTTCCCTGCGCAAATTCAATCACTCCCAAATCTGTGCCTCGTTTGTCGGCCGCATGAGTAGCCTCACTACTAGTCTCACACACATTCACGAAAACAAACTCACACATACACGTACACACACGTGAAAGCACAATTGTACACATGCACACAAGTTTATAGACTGAATTATGACTTTAACTAATCCAATTACTTTACAGCTCTACAAAATGCACAAACAACATTTTGGTATAAGCTGTTAGTTTTCTTGGCCACCAAGAATGACGCCCTGTTCGAAGGATGTCTTGCAACTGACACGAGAGACGTAAACTTGGCACGTCGTCATGGCAACCAAAGGAGAGGCTGCCTCAGCAACAATGTCAGCAGGAAGGTTCCAGCGATCGGAATCCGCCGTAGTTTATTGGTGGGAACCACATGCGTATCAGTTTACATTTTTCAAACTTTCCCACGAAATGGGAGTCAGCTGATCAAAAGTTTATTGGTTTTACTGATGCACCGGAAGATGTCATCTTTGTCAGTGTGTTTTGTCGTCATGCCTGGTTGTTTCTGCTGCCTGCGGCTGGATACTCGCAAATCCGACTCGCTATTCCGACAGTACAGAGCACCGGTTCTCGATTGTTCCAGAAACCTGCGTCGTCATGGCCGGACTGGCAGCAGCTAAGCCAAAAAGGGGAGAAAATAAGGAGCCAATCAGAAAACAGCCACAGCTGTACCATCCATCTTTGCTTTCCTGTCTTTTGCCACATCCCAGAGACCCTATCAACGCTGCCCACTTTGCACCATTTGGGACTCATTTCGCTTTTGCATCAATGAAAGTGCAAACTGGTCTATTCTTAGCAGAATCGCTGTGCCGAATGCAGTCGTCATGTGATTGTGTTTTAGTGCAACATATGCAAAGTAACTTTTGCACAAGCTACTTCTATTGAGACAATGAGAAATTAGATTTGTTGTGCGAATTATTGCATATGTTTTTCTATCTGCCAGGACGCTTTGGA